TTTAAGTAAAATAAAAGAAAAAATTAATGTGTTGTAAAACCGAATTTAGCCCAGCCAGAACGGTAAGATGTATTAATTGATTAACTCGTATCATTACTTTTATTTATCGGTCAAGGAAGCTGGAATGGAAAAGAAATTCTTTTAAGTTTAGCGACAAACTTGATTAAAACTGGAAGCTATTAAAAAACTTAGTTTCCAAAAGAAGACCAGAATTTAAAAATCATTTCGCAGTTTATGCTTCTTACTTACTAACATGCATTTCATTTGTTGACCTATGAAATAATATTTCTTATATCCCACTAGAAATTAAATTTGTTTTCGAATAATTTTAAGAGTGAATAATCTATACAAGTTTGGGGTACTAAAAAGTTTGTTAATTTTTTATTGGTGCTGACCCATAAAAAAATATTTCTCTAACCACCAAATCAATATTTTAAAAGCCATTGTCGCTGAAAACAAGGACATGAGTTAGATTGAGTAATATTATTTTCTTCAATCCATCTTCAATATTAAACTGCCGCGGCGGCGCCGCCCACCCCCCGGCCCCCGAGGCCGAATCTACCATCTGTCTCGGGTAGAGCTCTGAGATTTGCCGATGGATTTAAAAAGCCACCTACTTTTACGCCTAATCATTCTAAATAAAACTTGCAGCCTCTGTTTTATCATGGCTGCTGGCACAGAGTTAGCTACCATCTGTCTAGGGTTGAGCACTGAGATTTGACGATGGATTTAAAAAGCCACCTACTTTTACGCCTAATCATTCTAAATAACACTAGCAGCCTCTGTATTATCGTGGCTGCTGGCACAGAGTTAGCTGCGGCGTAAAAAATGGAATATTAACTTGCTTCGATTTAGCGTAATAAGCTCATGAATTTGTTCTAACTTCTGGATTTGGCTTGCTGAATTTGATGATTTTATTAATTTATAGATAATATTAGAGTTCTTCGCTCATGGGGTGAAAAGGAAAGAAAATGACTGACCGACAATGTTGGTTTTCAAAAAAAAAAAGAAGAAGAAGAAGAAGAAGAAGAAGAAGAAAACAAGAAGACAATGTTGGTTTTTTTAAAGAGAATAAATCATAAATTAATTCTTTTAGCTTCAAAAAATAAACTAATTAATTTCTCTTATTTCAAAAAATGATTATTTAATTCAATAAAAAATTTTAATTACGTTTAATTTAATATTATTTTATTTAAAAAATTTCATATTTTAGCAAGTAAATTATAAATTAGTTCCTCTAATTTCAAAAAGCAAATTAATTAGTATCTCTCGTTTTAAAAATTATTATTCAATTATTTAATTAGTATTAAATATACTTAATTTAACATTATTTTTATTTTAAAAAATCTTTTATTTTCTCATCAATCTTTTTATATTTTTTTCTATTTTTTAAAACAAAAAAATTAAAATAAATTAAAAATAACTAGAGGATTAAATTATAAGTAAATGTTGAATAAATAATTAATTTTAGAAACAAGAGGGACTAATTTATACTTTATTACACCTTTTGCATTTTATTTGCCAAAAAAAAAAAGGTCACTATCGGCTGTGATTTGTGAAATCCAGAAATAAAGGAACTCCAGTACTCCACTACCATCCACGTGGGAACAAATAGTTACGTGAATGGTGAATTTGATAGCCCCAAACGACTCTTGAGCCCAAAAAATAGACATATGCCACGTGCGATATATTTATTATTCAGCAATATTTCACTTTTATTATGTCTAAACTATATTTTGGTCTATATATTTAGCGTATTTCAATTTGACTTTATTGTTTGAAACTTTCACCATCAACTAATCAAGAGTTCTCAAAAAGTTTGCAATCCTCTCCCAGCATTAATTAGCTAATAGCACTTAACAAATATGCCACTTTTGTGGTTTTCTGTTTTTTTTTTTTGGATTTTCATGCGGATATAGTGAAAGAGATGAAAAGAAACGTGGAAAAACAGGTTATTTGGTAGCAGTTTAACAAGAAGGAATCATATTGGATTTTTTCAAAAGCTCAAGGATTGATATTCAACGTCTAAAACAATAGAATCTATAGTTATAATTGTTTTTGTAGCAGACAAGCAAACGGATAGTACTGCATACATGGACCCTAGCTAGCAAGAAGATAAGGCAGAGCCCACGGCATGAAAGAAAGGAAAAGAAAATCCAATTTGGGTCCCCTCATTTGGCATTTGATTTTGACCAAGCCAATCCATCCAAGAAGTTGGGTGCCAGAAGGCTGCACCGCTTTTACCAGTTGCTGGACCCAAGTCATTCACGTGATTTGCTTGTAAGGAAAACCACTGGCTTCATCTGTTTATCCTTCTCATTGGCCTAAGCTGGCCTCCTTTTCTCTAGTGTTTTGCTTTAACTGAAATGAAAAGGGCAAAAAGTAGGTGCTCACGACTCACTAGAGGTGTTCATTTTCTTTTTTAATACCTAGATGAGGATTTTTTATTTTTTTTTACATATTAAAATTAAATCTATTTTTTAAAACTAGTGATAAAAAGTCTGTACCAAATAAAATTTCATAAAAATTTAATAATCCAAAAAAAAACATATGGGATAACTACATCATTTTCTGTTGACTGATAAAGCCATCCACAAGGCATCTGAGGAGTGACGTGTCCACGGACGAATTGCACCTGATGCATAGACTACACATGTCCTAAAATGTACAGAAGAGCTTACCACCACAAATTCTTCTTCTGGGCCATGTCTAGAATTGATGATCAAAATCTTAAAACATGTTGGGCCCCCCACGTTCATACCTGGCGTATTTATCAAATTAATCAAAACATTAGGTCATGATCAAATAATGGTCCTATGCCCACCGCAGGTATGGTTCTAGGCACAAACTTCCAAAGTCGTGAGACTCCACAATTTGTCATTTTTTATATTTTCTTTTTTCAAGCCAGGAACTGTGAATCTAGAACTGGGAACGTGAGAATGAGAATCTTGATAACTCAGGGATATACATAAGTGAGTTTTTTTTTTCGAAAAAAAAAAAAGAAGAAGATAAGTAGGCTATTTTAAACTCTCAACAGAATACATTGCATCCACAATACTAACGTCTATTTAAAGTAACTTTCATCGCATTTATATTAAATTGAAATCAAGGGATCTAGAATAGGGCTACAAGATTTAGATTGAGTTATGAATTAAAATCCGGATAGATGACTTGAAATTGTGATTATTTATACTCCATTATGTGATCCGAGATTAAAAACTTGTGGGGGTAAGAAAGTTTGTCCTTTATAGTAACAGAGATTGATCCTTGAAAACGCTAATATCCTTTTAGGAATGAAAATGAATAAATATTCTTTTTTTTAAAATGGGTTAAACTAAAGCTCCTTAAGAAAAGGTATATTTTCAAAGGAAAAAAAAAATTCCATCTTTGTAAGGAAAGGAAGGAAAATTTCCATCAATATGGGATTGAAATATGTTGAAACAGTATATTTTCAAAGCAAAAAAAAGGAAGGGAAATCTTATTTTTCAAGGATTAGATTGAGATTTTTTTTTTGAAAAAAAAAAAAGGATCCGGGGGTAGTCTCTGCTGGCCCATCTCTGCCTACCACACATCATAAATCCATACCTCGAGCAATTTGAGCCTGGAGTTGCCTCTTTTTTTCTTTTCTTTTTTTACCATTTTTCTCTATTCCTTCCTCCTAGTTTCTTTTTCTTGGGTCAGAATAAATATTTTCGTTTCTAGTTTTAAAAGGAAAAAGAGAGGATACGTACATTACATGTATCCCATATCTGTCCACTTACAAACACAAAAGACTAGCATCAATTTGCATGCATGTTCATATTTCGAGCGATTCAATTGATTTTTTCCAAAAGTTCGTGGACTAACTGCACCTTAGCCTATTTCCCAAAAGCAGTCTAAGTTCATTCCCAAAATGATCCTTATCGGCATAGCTGTCCAAATACAAGAAACTTCAACGACTATTCTCAAGCATATCTTTGGTATTTAGCAGCCAAGAAAACCATACGTACTTTGACTAAGCTAACAATCTAGTGGATGTCAAATTGACAATGGAAAGCGTTTATCTTCGCAGCCTCGCCTTTCACTTCCTTCATATGCAACGCACATGGCAATCTCCACGGAGGATCTCTTAAATAAACTGATACTAAATTAGCAGTAGAATGCCAATTTGAATCGTACTGAAAGTCAAAAGCTGTTAAGGGTTCAAAAACTATTAAATAGATCGGATTCAAGTGGATCAAAACTTTAATTGATTGTGGTGTGAATTAAAACTGTATTATAATTAAATTAATGCAGCAGTATCGGCAAAAATATGGCGCAAACGTTCACCATTAAAAGCACTAAAATTTCGAATGACGCCGTGCAATTGGAAAGAATACAAGATTCTTGCCTTATTTCTTTTCCACATCTATATGCAGAGGCAATGCAAGTTCACAAGCAACAAAAAGAAGGAAGATATTGCTCCAAATCAAAGTCATGGGCATTGACAAGAGCACAGACTAGTCCCTGCATTCTGAAGGCAAACGATAAAATGCAAAACAACTTTTGTGGGCTTGTAGCATTTAGCGTGTCACGGAAAATTAAGACTTGAAGAGGACATCTAATATTGATAAGAGACCAAAAATCTGAATCACAGTAACTGATATCCAATATTTTTACTAGGGTCTCTTTCATGAAGTTGAATAGCAAGTCAGTGTATTTGCTCAAGTGATGATTCACTTCAATGACAAGAAATTTCCGTATTAACCAAAGCAAGAGAAAAGGGGGCTGAAATTCCATTTTGATCCATGAATTAAGCAATTACAAATGTGAATATAGCATTAAAGAAGCACAAAAAAATAATAATAAAATTTAATGATAATTTGCAGGAAGTGTATAAATTTATGATCTGAACTGAGGATGCAACATTCTGAGGTATCATAAAGTTCAAAGAATCGAATTGATATTTCCAATTTATATATGGTTCCATGGCCAACAAATATCCAAATGTTGGATAAGATGGATGTGTCCTGATTGCTGGGCTATACTTCTAGGTGATGATGCATGGCCTCGGTAGATTGTTGCACATCTTCTGTGCCGCGATGAGATGCAGAGGATTTGCATGCACCACAGCGTAGATATTCTAGGAAATCCATGACTATGGTATCAGTCCAAGGAGCCCCAAGTGGAGCTTCAGCACCAGCAACCCACCCTAGATGACCACCTTTGGGTGTCACTATAAGCAAGCAATTTGGATTTTCCTGAGACAGCAAACCCATATACTTGATTAAAAGGATACGAGAGAGAAAATTGATTGGATTAACAAGGGAATCAAAGGACATTGAAGTTCGCAGGCTTATCAAAAAAAAAAAAAAATTTGCACTGTGGTAGAAAATATTCACCAAACTAGAAAATCCAGCACTGCACCACTAAAATGAGCACTCTTTTAAATCAGCGAATTTGGGGCATGCTTAGAAATTTGAGGACCAACGAGGGAGTTCCTAAAGCATTTCAAGGACAGACTATCCGGAGAAGATATTCGATAACTTGCTTAAAAATACTAATAATATTTATCCTGGACCAAGTTTAAGTTTTTATGGATGGAAAATGGATCAACATTATTCTACTCAACCTAAACAACATTTTCCATCTAAAAGATGGCTTCTGTTACATTGCTAAAAAAGGATAAACCACTTGGAAAGGAACATCAAGATGAAGAAAATCAACTGTGGTTATTTTAGGTATCATGACTTCTAATTTTAAAAAGAAGATAAAATAATTAACACTCTCCCAAAAGAATAGCCAGGGCTGTTCGTACAAAGATGAAGAATGGGGGATGAAGGCAAGCGATGACCATTGAAGAATCACTGAAACAGGTAAAGAAAAAATGCAGGACAAATGAATTTATCATGGTGTGCTAACGTGTGACTCTTGATGAAGCTAAAAGTATCAAGTAGCAGAAACCAGAGCACTTTACCTCACTATGCAGAATTAAAAAAATGGGACAAATAGCAATCCAGAATGGCAAGAACATGAAAGGATACAAGATATGAGAATAAGAGCAGTGTATGACTTCTGTGGAGAGAGTCCTACATACCTTGATATCTTCACGAGGAATTCCCCGGGCTGGAGCAATTGGATCGTTGACAGCCTGCAAATTAACAGCATGTAAATTTAAATCCAAGCCAAATCTGACATAATTTCAGAACTTTCTAAAATCCAAGTATTAAAGAAGGAATGCAATTCAATGCTCGCAAATCTATATTCAATGAAAAATCTGCCATGAATAATGGGAATTGCATTCTATCAGCATCGTATAGTGAATAAAAATGACGGAAAGTCCATCCCCAATTGCTTCAGGTACTTGAGATTGCAAGCAGAGTATATATTAGAGAAGTATCAGCACTAACCAGTAAATCCTTTACCTAGAACTAAATAAGCAGTCATACATGGAAAACTAGAAGGTAACGACAAGATGAAACAGAAGTTCCATAAATAGCACGTAACAATGTAGCTATTGCTTCAGCAACAAAATATGACCAAAAGTTCAATCTGCAATAAATTCTCATACAGCATAGTATTAGTCATGATACTCAAAGAATCTTCAAAATTGGCAAAGATGCACTACCTGGATGCAAAGCAAAGGTGTACGAACGTGTTTTATAAAATCTGAACTGCTTGAATTAGAGTAGTAATCATCCACCGACTTGAAACCAAATGAAACTGCCCAGTGCAATTAAAAGTGGTGTGAGCTGATGGCATGCCATTATAACCTCCAGCACAATCGTCATAAAAGAAAAGGAGAAATTGCTTCTACAGGGAGCATCTACCTCGAGTTAGTCCTTCATCAAACTCCCTGACAGACTTGGCGTTGGCGACTGATGGGATATTATATTCACCACCCATATCTTCAAAGAGACTAGCATGCCTGCACAAAAAGGAGGTGGTGATACCATCTCTAAGAAGAAATATTGGCTGTGAGATGGAAGAATTTTATTGCAGAATTACCTCTTAAAAATTTTACGCAGAGCATTTGTGAGAGCTCGGTCATAAACAACATTAAAGCCCTTACGGAAGTCCTCATCTGCAATGACCAAATTGAAAGGATTACACAATGATACAGCACCAGTTATCGTTTGAGATTCCTGCAAGCAACAAACAATGAAAAATAAATTAAATAATTGCAGTAGAACAAGACTATGGTAGGGAAAAGAGCTAAAATAAATTCAATCGGTCCTTAAGAATGCATCATCACCATACACTGAATTTATACTTGCATAAGTTAATTGCACAGAGAAAATATTCAATGCAAAAAAATAAAAAAAAAATGAAGTACTTTAAAGTTTAAACTGAACTCAATCTCAATGCCCCAACTATGCCTAAAGTAACCCATTGTAACTCAACTAAACTCCAATCTCAAACTATTTGGATTCAGCTTCAATAGCTATGTTTCCTCCATTGAATGTATCCATGGATGAATGTTGGATATGGCCCAACCATCTCAAGCATCACTTGTACTCAATAGATGCCATCTCCAACTTCCAATAGATGCACCCATTTCACTTTGTTTCTTGTGTCTCCACATCTACATCAAAAGTAATCCATCTCAACATCCCAGTGCTCAATGGTTCCTCTTCACAACTTATTCTAAGAGGGAAAAAAAAAACAATCTGTTAAACCTTAAAACACTAATACTAACCCATTTCCCCTTGCTTTTTAAAACCTTCAACTTTAACATTTGTATCTCAGAGAGAAGAGAATTACTGCATCTTTTCCACAAAGTTCCCTTTGCTTGAAAGGCATCAGTAGGTTGAAATGAGCAGAAAATAAGTAGATACTATAGCAATATAGCAATATGCATCACCATATTCTCTAACATGAACTTGAAATTATCACACACGCAGATTCTTTGACAACCAGGTTAACATTTCCAGCTAAGCCATTAAACTAAATGAAGCAATAAGCAATAACATCTTACCTGACCCAAATAATTGACAAGAATATTGGCACCAAGAGACCAACCAACAGCATACAAGTTAGCATTTGGATATCTGGTCCCAACATGTTCCACCACTTCACGCATATCTCCTATAAACGAACCCGAATAGAACTGCATTATCAGTCCTTGACTTGGTAAAATGATCGAGTACTCAAGCCAACTCCTTTCTATATTTCGATATCAAAATTGACTAGAAATTAATACAATTACCCATAAAATGTACCTGAGGAGTAGTGACCGGGCTATTTCCACAACCCCTGCTATTAAAGACAACAACACGCCACCCTTTATTTCTTGCTCTGATTAGCATATGCCTTACATATGAATCCTCGCTCCCTCCTGTTAGTCCTGGCTGCATTATAATCAAATCCAAACAATTCTCTTAAAATTTGAAAAAAAATCCCTTTATTTCCCTTCGCTACCAATTCTATAATGCCTTTTTCAGATACTCCTGAAAAGACACTGGTTGACAATGTTTGAAACATCCGGTTCAACAAATTTCAATGCGTTTCTCCGTGCCTTTGAAGACACGGAGAAATGTATTGAAAGTAGTTTGGTAATGCTTTTGGACTGCATTTCGAAGTAGTTTTCAAAGTGCATTTGGGTTGAAACAACATTAAATCGATGTTATTTTCAGAAACCATCGAAAATTGCACCCAAAAAGCATCAAAATAATGTTTTTTTAGTGGATACACGTTTTTGCGAAAAACACTTGAAACAAAGACAACTGCTAGTACAAATGAACAGAATCTATATAACAATTTTATCCACCAAAAAACACAGTTAAGATTCTTTATAGTAAATTCATACAGACCAGTAAAATGAGAACAGGAGAATCGGGTGGCAAGCTTTGGTGGTCCCCGGAGACCCAATCAAGAGCGACAGCACCGTCATCTTTAGTACGAAGGCACTCACGCTTGAACCTGACATCAGGAGTGGCACGAAAGCGGGAAGCGAAAATGGTTTCAACGTGACAGTTATGGCCAAAAACAGGGAAAGGAGTGTAAGGACGGTGTAAGGAAGTGAAGGCTGGGAGAAAGAGGTCACGTGCGCCTCCGATTATTTCGAAGGAAGGGTGGGGGTTGTGATTGTCAGGCATGGTGGTGCGGAGGGAGGAGTGTGGTGGACGGCAGCGGCGGATTGGGGAGATGCGTGTGGAAGTGGAGGTTACAGAGAGTTTGGCCATTGGAGTGGTTAAATGGCGAGAGGTGAGGCCAGCTTTAGAAAGGAGTGGGTGCAATTGGTCGGAAGAGAATATTCAAATTGATCGGTTGAGATTACAGGTGAGGGAAAAAAAAAAAAAAGTGAGAGAGAAAATTATTGTATTCGTGTAAATATGATATATATTTTAAAAACTGTCCATAAATCTCACTTAAAAAAAAAAAAAAATAGTGGAACTAGAATACAAAGGGAAATGAATTTGGGAGGTTGTTATACAAATTGTAAAATTTAATGAAAAGTTATGTGATTTATGTTATTTTTCTATCATAAATATTCTTTTTCTTTTTTATATCTATTTCAAAATATTATTCTGGTCAAAGCTTTTAATACTATAAATTTACAAAATATCATATTTTGTAATAAAAGATAAATTGAATAGATTTTCTACTTAAATAAAAAAAAGATATTTTAAGAAAAGACATTATAATTAATAAAGATTTTAAACTATTTGAAAAGTCAAAGAATAATTATTATTTTAGGATAGAAACAATTTTTTTTTATCAGTTAAAGATACATCGTACATAAAACTAAAAATTTGATGAGTATATTTTTTATTTAAAGTTCGATGACAGACTTATCGACTACAAAGACGTATTTATTATGATAAATGATAAGAAAAACGGAATGCATGAAAAACTCTGCTTATTTGGCATCATAAATGGATATCTTAAGGGAAAAAAAATATTTTTTATCCTTCCTCACTTGCAATTTAAAATTCATGCAATTTGGAAAGATTGGAATCCATTATTTCTTGGTTTAGATTAAGATATAAATTTTTATTTTTTATTTTTAATCGAAGTGAATATACACGTGGAATTTGGAAAAGAAAAAATAAACGGGTCTGTGAGGCCGGGCAACATATGACCGTGAGCCCAAGTCCAGCCATTTAAAACCGGTCTGACCTTGTGCTATTGGGCCAATGGACTCCAAAAATCTATCCAGCCCAGACTGGTCCGTTGAATAACCCAGTCCATGAATAGGTCTACTCTTCGCCCTCTTCCTCCACTGTCAAGAAGCAACTGAGTGGATAGGTTAAACATCTATCATGTCTCCTCTGCATCCTAAGCTTTCCTTTCCATCTTTCAACTATTCGTCCTTTCCAACAACAAATTATCTCATCTATCTTCCCTATTGTCCCTCCTAACAAACAGATCCTTAGACGATATTCCTATCGCTAAGTTGAGTAGCAGAGTGACAAATGGGGAGACAAGATATGCTTCTTATGCTATTTCTTAGAATTTCTTGCTTTTTTTTTTCCTTCAGGATTCTTCTTTTTGTGGAACAATATCTTTATGATATATTCCCTCTGCTATTCTATATCGTATTGGAGAATTTTTGTTTCTTTAAGATATTTCCATTTTATTCCATTTGATTTTAAAAAAAAAATTCTTTTTCTGTGACCTTAGCTTTTAGTAAAAAAGAGAGAAAAGGATGTTATTAAATTATTGCCAGGTAAATTGTTTGAGCTTCAAATTTCCTTTTTGAATGCCTGAATTGATTTGTGTAAAATTAAGTCCTACATTTGTACTTTCTAAGGAGCTTTCTAATTAAAATGGCCAAAACGGGCTGTTAAATTCGAGGTTTGGATATTGTTGTGGATAGAATTCATTATTAATGATTTCAAAGTACAATTTTTGTATCATTGCATGTTAGATCACATAATAAATAATATAAATATATTTTTTTTTTGGTCTTATCACACTATCCCGAATTTCAATATAAGAAAATTTTTGGTAATTGAAAGTCGATGGTTAACCACTTGAAAATGGGTATGCTTTTTTAATTAAAAAATGGTTATGGTTAACTATTAAATACTTGGTTCAAATTATGACTGTGATTTTCGTGATAACCGAATTGCAACGAAATCGAAAAAATAATATTTATTTTTATTATGATTTTGTACTAAATATTGAAAAATTGTAATAATGTCATTGATTATAAATATTTACTAACTCATTTCATGCTTTAAAAATGTTTGTTTAAAGCTTTTATTATGGATTTAAAACTTATTTCATGTTGAAACAATTTATTTAATTTGTATGTATTGTGAAGGAATTTTTTGTGATTTAAAATATTTTATGTGCAAAACTTTTTTGATTTTCGCTGTTCTCATTATAGTTTTATATTAGACGTATTTTTGTTGATATGTGATTATCTAAATTTTGTAAAATTTATTCGTCTAATCAATTATATATATATATATATATTTAGACGAATAAACAATGCTTGGGTTTTAGGTATAACTATATCCACAACTCAAATAAAAACTACCAAAAGTTATGGATTATGAATGACATAAACATAGTAGCTGGTCATATATATATAATAATAAAATAGAGGGAGTAGGTGATTAATTGATAACCAGCTATTACGTTTACGTCATTCATAATCCATAACTTTTGGTAGTTTTTATTTGAGTTGTGGATATAGTTATACCTAAAACCCAAGCATTGTCATTTTTGTTAAAATAATAATAATAATAATAATAATAGACTTGATTTATAATTGAACAATAATAGAAGTAGAAAAACGACCTGAATAAAATTTCACGGAAACTTGGACAATAGCGAGTTTATTGATGAACATAATAAAAGACCACAACAATCAAAAGAACTGACGGGCTCGATTTCATTCATGGACTTCATCCAGCTTTTTCTGCTGTTCCTGCTTCTCCTCATCGGTCATGAAAGCAGAGATAGGGAAAGACTTGCCAATCCCCATTGGAGTCTTGAAGATAATTTTCTTGCTTGAAGGATTTTCGATGCTCATTTCAGATATTGGCACCCATAAGAACATCTGCTTGCTCTTAATCCCAGTCATTTTCTTCATCTTGAACCTCTCTACATAACCAGTCACCTCTGTGGCATAGCTTACTTTTGTGTTGGATCCAACAAAAAAATGCTCATATGGGGCCTTTTGTTTCATCCAAACAAACCCAGTTTCTTTGACCCTTCCACACTCTTCAAGATCTTTCAGAGGGAGGACGCCTTTAGGGAATCCTAGCTCTTCAAGAAGCTCCATGGAGTGGCGATGGCACTCTTCAGGGCCATACACAATTTCAGCCCCTGCACGTTCATCTTCTTTTGACCTGATCATGGTTGCCATTTTTATCAAGAAGGGGTTGTGTTTTAGAGTTTTTAATGATGAAGGATATTAGTGGTGTTGGGATCTAAATATATGAAGAGGAAAGGACAGGGTGGTTGGCTAGACGTTGAGCTGATTCAGGATGATGTTCAAGAGGTGGTTCACCTAATGGTTAATGACTCACATGGGGTAATAGTTGTGAAGGCAGAGTTTCATTTCGTAAATGTTCAAATTGCTTGGTGTGTCTAATTTGATTTTGCTCAGTAAATATAGGCATCTTGTCATGTTGTGTTTGTCTATTTACTGTGAAAAGAATTGATGCTTTCATGGGTGAAGTTTGGACAGCTGAATCTAAATAAAGGACCCAATTTTCAATCAAGCAAAAGGAAGTTTCAGTTAAGTCATGGAAAATCCTTCCATGCTTTTCAGATCCCGTTGTTTCCTTCACCATTTCTCCACTAGCAAGGAGGATACTAAGACTTGGGTTAGGCAAAATCCTGGAAACTAAGATATATGATGAAAAAACCAAATTCCTGGATGATGTAAAGCAGGGCAAATCTGGGAAAAAGACAGAAAGATCAAATCTTTTTACTTTTTACCCTGCAATGAAGTATATCACAGATAGAGAGTACTGTATAGTTATTTGACTGATGAAATAAAATACTTACCTCTTTTTTTAAGCCACAACAAATCACTCTTTCAAAAGAAAATCGTGTCCTAATAATGTACATGATTATCCCTTTAATTCCACCCTCCAGCATCTCCCTTTCCCAATAATTTGCAGATCCAAGCTTCTTCTAAACCCCCCAGTTCACCAACCTCCAAGCCAGTTTTGTACTGTTTAGCTTTTCCTTCCAATTGATACAATCCAATTAATTTGCACTGGTTTAAATGGGCCATTTTTAGCCCAAAAAGATTTGTTGAGGAAACAGAATGAGCCCATTGGATTATTATTGTGCTCCACGAGTCCTACTTACTCCAATCAAAACTAGCATAACATAACAACCACTGGTCTGGAGTATGAACTCCTAAGTCCTTAGTAACAAAAATGTAATTAGGTTTGTTTTTATGCTTGACCTTGCTTCAGGTCATGGGTTTGAGGGCTGGTGAGTATGGGCCATAGGGAGGGTCAGTAAGCAAGACCATTTTGAGTTTATCGGTCCATTATGAGCTACCTTGAATTTTTCTTGTTATTTATGCAAATAGATAGAATTAGCCAGTTGCCCGCGCTATGCCACGGGTCTAGTGAAATAAAATTATTTTATTTTTTTAATTATATATTTTATTTCATTAAATTTTTTAATATTTTTATAAATTTTTTTCTTAAAAAAACACAAATCATTCTTTTTTATGGATTGATTTAAAAATTAAAAATGATAATAATTTTAACTAAAATATTAATCAATAATTGAAAAAAAATTAAAAATATAATTTTTACAATATTGTATTTCAAAAAATAAATTTATAATTAATGAACAAACTTTTATAAAAATTAACAAATGAAAAAAAATTCTTATTTAATGTTGATGAGAAGATTAGTTTTTGAAATTATCCGCGCAACGCTACAAATAAATAAAGCAAAATTATTTCAAAATGTTATAATTTTTTTATTTAATCATTACTCTTTTTTGTGTGTTTTTCATAAAATTTCTGGTTAAAAAAATGGTTTATTCTTCGTTATTCGAGAATTCTTAAATAAAAACTTGTAATAATTTAAACTCGAAATATTAATTGAGAATTCAAAAATAAATAATTTAAAATTATAATTTTTTATAAGAATGTATCCAAAAAATAAAATTACAATTAATGCATGGACTTGTATAAAAATTAACCAATGAAAAAATAAAATTTTATTCTTATTTAATGCTGGTGAAAAGATTTTTTTTTTCAAGTATATGCATTTGATCTATATATATTTATTTACAAAATAATCAATAAAATTAGCATAAAAACAGTATTTGAATAATTGAGTGGTTACTTTAAAAAATTATTTTAATTATTTTATTCCAAATAAATTGATTACGTAATGTTAAAAAAAATATTTATAGTAAATAATTTATGTTAGAAGATGTATAGTTAATTTTTAATCCAATCAACGATTTTCAATAATTTTTTTATACGTCCCGACCATAACTAGTGAACCGAGATAAATTATTTGAAATACACTTTTAACCATTTAGAATAAAATAATTATATATTTATATATATGCAACTATCATTTAAAAATTCTACGAATTTATAATATATATTATACCAATTTATTTTTAAAAAATAAAAAAATAATCACATTTTAAAATTTTATTCTAAAATTCAAACATAGAGAGAAATAAATTACATAATATCAGTAAATAAAATTTCGTATAAAAAATATTAATTAGATGAGAATTTTCATAAAAATGATAAATTCAAAAAATAAAATTTAAATAATAAGAGTAATATAAGCTGAAGTATATGTTAATTTTAAAATATAAAAAGATATATTGTATAATAGTCGGTTTGCGTTGGAAAAAAATTACGATTGATTTTTCAAAATTTTAACTTTCAATTAAAAAAAAACATAAATTGATGAAAAAAAGCAAAGAAAAAATAGATTTTTCAAAATTTTAACACCCAATTAAATAAAAAAGAAAATAAATTGATGGAAAAGAGCTAAGAAAAAACCAATAAAAAAAAAAGCATGTGTAATGGATCAATTAGGGGATTAAAATTTTTATTTTAAATTTTTAGTGATCAAAATTAAAACAACTTGAAAATTAAAAAAAAAAACCTAAGCTACCTGATGAACAGTGAAACAATAAATTACTGATCAAATGAATAATAAATTACTATTTCTTTATCCAGATGTTTTAATTTTTTAATTAATTTGAGCTTCTTCTTTATCTCCCTCCATGGTCTGCTCAATTTCCTGCTAAGCTAGTGATCAAGGGACTGTTGACTCTTGACTTCCTCGCTCGAAGCAGTCATTTTTAAACGTAGCAGTGAATATGCCTCGTTTCAAATCTTCAAGTGGGTGGTTCCATTGTTATAGAAACGACACACACAATTTTTTAGACAATTTGCGTTGATTTCTCTCTCTTTCTTCGATATAAGTAACAGATATTTTGTTGATTCCTGATATTTAGGAATTAGGATCATGGCATGTCCTTTTGCAAACATCATGATTCCATATAGGTCCAACCCATAACTACTGGCTGACCTATTGGATGGGAGTGGCTTTTGATTCTTTTTGGACCCTTGAGGGCATTCATAATGGACACAAAGCCATCTGTGTCGTCTTGTTGGACTGAGTGGGCAAATAATCATATAATTCTGAAAATCACATCTATTATCGTCACGGCTGTAATATGCTTAGCATGGTAACCAGAAATGCCTGAAATATAGAAATTCAAATAAAATTAAAAAATCAAAATGATATTTATATTTTTTGAAATAATAATAAATATTTTAATATATGATTTTTAATAAGAATAAGAATAATAATTAAAAAAATTAATTTTACCAACTATGATAATAGTAAAAATTATAAAGATTCTTGTGGTAGTGATTGGCTGATGGTGGTGTAGGAGAAGAATGATGAAAAAGAGGTAATAGTAATAACGATATATTAATAATAACAATATATTTTTATCAAATCGATACCATCATCATAGAAGGTGGTAGTAGAAGAAAAGTAATAGCGAATAAAAATGATGATGGTGATAATAATAATATAATAAAAATAGTGGTAGTGATTAAGAAAAAGTGGTGGTAAAATAATAATAATAGTTTTTTTCATTTTTTTTAACACCACTATCGAGAATTTTTATAATACTCAAGAAATAAAGTAGTTACTTCATGAGCTCGTTTTATAGAGAGAGATAGACACATTAAAAAAAAATTACACTTGAACCCATCAAGAGAGATAAAAAGATTTTCACATTAGCTCAATTTTTTTTAATTTTCTCTCTCCTATAATTTTTTTAAAAATTTTCTCTCGCGTATTTCTCTCTTCGTTTGTCTCTATCTCTCTTTACAAAATAGATCATAAAGTAACTAATATACATGTACAGTAGTAGAGTGATTGTGGTTTTGGTGATAGTTGAAGTAGTTGGCATACAACATGTAAAAATAATATATTATTATTTTGAAGGAAAAAAAAATCATTAGCATTCCTTGATTTTATTCTCACCTTTTACATGTGAATGAAACTACATTTAATTTTCATTTTTATTCTCATTCTTTATTTGTATTTTTGCTTTATTCCTTTCAAACAAGAAGCTACAGAGTAAGAATAAAATTTATTTTTACATTCCTATTGTTTCATTTCTAGTAACCAAGCAATGCCTTAGTGTAGAAAAATAAAATTGCAAAAATTAGAATGACATTTTTATTTTAATACTACATTTGGAATAATAATAAGAAATAATAATGAAAATTTTAAAATTTTTAATATCCGATTTTTAAGTAAAATAAAAATAATGATTTAAAAAAATTCATGACAATTTAAGTGATTGCGACGAAGATAATGGTAATGGTCTTAGAAAAAGATAAGGTGGTGGTGATAACAATACAATAATAGCATTGATATATTTTAAAACAAAAATTGATATCACAACCATAAAGGTGACAAAAACAAAAAAAAACAAAAAAACAAAAAAAAAGTGATGGTGATTGTGGCATTATAGTAAAATTTGTGTCGTGGTGGTGGAGAAGTGATGACGAAATTAATAGCAATAATATATATTTTTTTCAAATTTTTTTTTTATCATCGTCATCAATGACGATAGTGATAGTTGATATACAATAAATAAATAAAATATCATATTTTGAAGAAGAAAAAGTTTTATATTTATTTTTTGTTTTTATTCCTACTTGGACCATATGAATGAAATCATATTTAATTTTCATTTTCATTCTTACTTTATTTTTTTTTTCAACCAAACACTTATAAAGTAAAAAAATAAAATTTTTATTTTCATTCATACCTTGCTATTCCCTATCATCAAGCAATACCTTAAAGTGATGTTTGGTATACAGATGTT